GGAACACACCAAGGCACATCATCACTACATTAGCCAAGATTAAAATGAAGGAGAGAATCCTGGAAGCAGCAAGAGATAAGGGGACAGTCACCTACAAAGGACTTCCCATCAGACTGTCAGTGGATTTCTCAAAAGACACCTTACAGGCAAGAAGGGGCTGGAAAAAAGTATCCCAAGTCATGAAATCCAAAGACCTACAACCAAGATTGCTCTATCCAGCAAAACTTTCATTTAGAATGGAAGGACAGATACAGTGCTTCTCAGATAAAATCAAATTCAAGGAGTTCATCATCACCAAGCCCTTATTATATGAAATGTTAAAGGGACTTATCTAAGAAAAAGAAGATAAAAAAGATGAACAGTGAAAGGATAGCAAACTCACAGTTATGAACAACCACACCTAAAACGAAAGCAAACTAAAAGGACAGCTAGATCAGGAGCAGAACCATAGAAATGAGTATCACATGGAGGGTTAGCAACAGGGGAGTGGGAGGAGGAGAAGGGGGGAGAAGTTACAGAAAATAAGTAGCATAGACGATAGTAGAAAATAGATAGGGGGAGGGCAAGAATAGTAGGGGAAATATAGAATCTAAAGAACTTGAGACACGTGGTCATAAACTAAAGGAGGGGAATGGTGGGGGAGGGGTGTGCAGAGTGGAGGGAAACAAAGGGGGGAAAATAGAACTATAATGGCATAATCAATAAAATATATTTTAAAAAATAGTACATCTATTATCTATCTAGCAGACCTAGTTGATAAGGAAAATGCTTCAACAGAATAGATCACAAAAGTGAAATACCAATAAAATATATTTCCCTAATGAATATACGAATTTGACCCTGACAGGGTGGCTCAGATGGTTGCAACATCAGCCTTTACACCAAAATAGAGATCAGTTTAATATTTCTTTTATGACATGATTCATTAGGAAAATTTTTTCAAAAAAGTTCCTCTAGCAAAACAATAAATGGGTTACACAATAAATCCCTTTTTTAAATACTCCAATATTCCCTAAATATCAAACTGAACATTTATCTACCCTAAACTTATGTATGGACAAACAGTTACTTCCCAAAGTTTTCATAAAATTACATTACGATAGTGACTGTCTTCAATTGTAAAAGCGAGTAGTATTAATACTAGTAATGGGATTTTTATACTTAATAAGTAGAATGAAGAAAAAGTCCATCTTTCCCCAACTTACTTAATTATTCTTTCTATTATTGTATCCAATAATACACTCAGTATATTCTTACTGCCTTAGACTTCTTCCTGTCATTTCTATAATATTCTAAATCTGCATTTTCAACAACTTTTGAAAATATCTGAAAAACCTACATGCCTCAGTACATTTTAAATGTCTAATCAATTTCAAATGCAGCTTCAACTAATGGCACTTATATCTGTATAGTTAGATACATTTATGTGCTTTTCAGTAAGTATATACTTCAACTAAAGAAAAATCTACTATTTCACTTCATATTTGACAATTATAAATTATTATGTATTTTGCATGATTACTGATCACCTAAAATAAGCGAGAAAATGCTCATACTTCATTAAAAGTTTCAAATCCCTGTCTCACAGGAAAAAAATACTATTTATGGTCATTAACCTAAAAACACTGTTACATTATACAAACAACTTCCAAGCTTTAAAAGCAGTGGAATCTTCCACAATTTCCAAGGTAGCATGGTTTCCTAATGGAAAGATGGTCTCCCTATTAAACGGTTCAAAAATTACTTGCACACAATTACACAGTAAAAACCAAAAGGAAGCAAACTAGAAACTTTGTGTTATAAGCACTAACACATTTGCAACATACAGGTATGCCCCTCTTGGCATTCTCTTTTCTAATTGTGTCCCCACAAAAAGACCTCAGAGCTCTCTTATTTAACCCAACTGCAATGATGGTGTCCTGAATAGACAATGCTGGGCAGCAAGTCCTTAAGCCTAAGCCACTGGAGAAAAGAGCAATCCTAAAGGAAATGCCTTTAGTCTGCTGGTGCCAGAACATTCTGCTTGAGAGGCTCTTCTGCAAAGGACTGGGTGTATGCCCTGGCTAGCTGACTTTACAGACTTACAACTTCCACAGAGTGCAACGCTAACTAAAAATTTTAAGACTCACCTTCATTTTCATGAAGGGGAAAGGCAAAAGATACCTCCTGAATGGCTTTCACATCTGTCTATTTTTCTCCATTCTCCCTGGCCACATGCAAGTGCAGGTCACTATCATCACTGGCCTGTACTATTCCTCCTGACAAGACTTCTGTTACCTCTGGCAACACCTCAAAAACAAACGTAATATACCATATTCATACACACTCACACAATCATACCCACAAATCCAGGCCACTCTCAAGACAATCCAATAATCTTTCACATTAAAGGAAATCACATCACTACCCATTCAAGGTTCTTTATCGCTCCCCAGGATGAAGACCAAAGTCCTAGGCATTATCTTTGGGGCCCTGTGTCACCAATTGCTCTCACCAACTAAGCCTCATCTCTAGGCAATCCCCCTTCGCAATCTACCAAACAAAGCCAATGAAATTTTAATTCTACAACTCTGCAGTGCTCTCTCACATCCAGACCTTCCCCCATGCGATTCTCTCTGCCTGAAACACTCTTCTCTCTACCTATTTCCATTCTCTCTTACAGGTAGGCTGGTGTCACCTCTTCCAGGCTACCTTCCTCTACCTCCCATCATAACCTGTACCAATCCTAACAGATTTTATTGTAACTGTCACTTTACTTCTCTATGCTCCCTGCTCCCAGGGAATGGGGCCAGTGTCCCATTATCTATCCACCATTGTTATCAGAGGCACTGAAAAATGTTTTAATACATTCTAAGTTTACTTAATGAACATAATATAAATGTCATACATGCAATTAAGGAAACACATTCAGTCAGTTAAGATATGATGAAAACTAGGTAGCAATTTCACTATACTTTGGTATAAAATGCAAACTACACAGGTGCCCACAAACACCTTTAAAGCGAAAGGTTAAAACATTACACATTAAAAAAAAACACTTTTTAAAAAGTTTTCACTATAAAAATATTAGTTTTATGGTCACTATTAGATAAATTGCAGTTCATAAAAGTACATAATGAAATTATTTAAAAAGCAGCCTTGGTTGCTTATAAGCCAAGTATGGCATCAGTCTATCACTCTCTGCCACTACCGAACTCTTGGCATTACTCAGAATTCTGCTGGCTATAGGGAAAAGGCTACTCCAATTCCTTAATTTCTAAGCCTTGATATGTCTTTCAATTAGAGTTCCACTCACAATAATGGTCCCAAGAACATACACATGTTGCCAGGAAACAGACCTCTAATACATCCTGGGCATTAGCAGCTACTTTCTTTGAGCCACATGTCTTCTTATAATGAGTTACAATCTGAGGCTTGTGACACCAGATTTTTCCAGGGCTGCAGACTGATGTCATAAACATTATGGTACTAAGCACTCTAAAGAGTTCACCAGATCAACTCTAAACTCCTCCTATGCAAGGGATGAGTTATCCACCCTCTCTACGCCTGTTTTCCCATCTATAAATAAATAGATAAGATTTCATGGGATTCTTGTGGGAGTTAGACTGTCCAAGATAGCACTTAGCAAAACCCAATTATTATTTTCAAGTCAAAAAAGAAGGAAAGACTATAAAACCTAAAATATTTTCACATCTTCAGAACTTTTAGTTATGTCACAACTTGTTTTTTACTAATGTCATTTCCAACTGAGAAATTTTTCACGAAAGGCAGAAAGATGACAAAGTAACACACTATTTCTTCATTATAACCCTTGGATTTGACAAATTCCACGATCATCTACATTAAGATATACTTCCAAACCTTCCCAATCTTTCTCTGCACTCCCAAAATCACCTTAACTATTACTAGGTTCTGAACAAACAAGAAATATAAAGTAATTCTAATACATCTTCCCAAGATGTTCTCACCAGAAATCACTTCCTTACTGTTTCTATGCACTTCCAAATATACTGAGTCTTTGGAAAATACAACCAAAAGAAAAAAGGTCTCAATTACAAAAGTTGGCCTTCAAAGTCTCCAGTTTCCCTACAATAGAACTAGAGTCATCAGGTACTGTGGAAGCACCTGTTAAGTAAGAGGGATGGCAACCTATAAAACTCAAGTATTCCAATTTAAACTGTAGGTGGGAAAGTTAGTTTCCCACCTGATATCTTTCCATTTTAACAGAGTAACCAACTAATAACATAGGTGGCCAATTCAAATATTTTTGTCATTAAAAAAATGTAGAGAGAAGGGAATTTGAGCCAATTAAGCAAATTGGCTCTCACATTCCCAAGCCAGGCTGACTTGAGGTTTTTCTTGACAAGGAAATTTTACAGATCTTCTAAAACGTGTTTCAAATAAAAGTGAGACCTCAACAGACCTATAACTTTACCTCAGCCTGGATTCTGTTCTCGATTTTTAAAAATGGGTGACGTGCGAACAGTTTGCTAAAAGCAAATGGGGCACTGGGATATAATTTAGGAAGTGATGATGCAAGTCTCTGGGGGAGAGGGAGGGGCGGAGGTGAAAAAGTCAGAGGAAATACCCTCCTGGTGCCTGGGCACCGACTCAAACCAAGAAGGGGAAGAGGGAGATGAAGGGCTGGCCTCCACATGCCAAAGAAAGAGGGAACCCCAGTTCAACTGGAGGTGCCAACACCGCCCTTCATCCTTCCCCGCTGCTCAGGCCCCCTCACCCGGGCCCCGGGCAGCCCCGGTTAGCCCAAGCCTCGAGCAGGCGGGTCCCAGAGGGTGGCAATGCACCCCGGGCAGCGCCTTCTCTGACCATTCCAAGTCCCCACCCGGCACCCCTCCCCAGGACTCGGCCCTTGCCTCCTCCACGTAGGCCCGGCTTGGGCCCAGCCCTCAGGGTTCGGGCCTCCCCGGGCCCGGAGGCCTGCCTAGGAAACATCTGCGCCCGCGCCCCCGGCCCCAACCCCCACCCGGTCGGGCACTTACCCCCAGAAGCCGCACGGACAGCGAGGCGGCAGACTCGGCGCTTTGCTGCGCTCGCTCCCGGCGTCTCCCATGGTGCTCGGCGGCAGAGGCGGCGAAGCTCGGCGGCGGCAGCGGTGGCGGCGGCTGGGCTTGGGCCCCGCTCGAAGGAGGCGGAGGCGGCAGCGGCGGCGACCGTGGGGGGCTCGGGGCGGGGGGGAAGGGGAGGGAGCGGGCGCGCGGGCGGGCGCAGTCCGGGGCTCCTAGCCGGGATTCCAGGCCGGTCAGCTGGAGGCGGGTCACACCACTAGGCCAGCGGAGACGGGGGGCCGAGAGAGGCTCGGAAAGAAGGAGGGGAGCTGAGGAGGAGGGGCGTGCGGCTGAACCTAGGACCAAGGGGCGGAGAGGGAGGGGAGAGGGAAGACCGGGTACCCTCGGCAGCTTCCACCGCCGCTCCCAGCCAGAGCGATGTCCCGTGCGGCGGTGCTGGGAAGGACCTGAGCCCCCCGCCGGCTCTGGCGTAGCAGCGGCCACAGTGAAGCTACAGGCCCCGCTCGCTCTCCCTCCCCCGGAGGCTGCGCTGACCGGACAATGGCCGCTCCGCCCCCACCCCTGCTCACGCACCCCTCCCAAGGAGCCACAATGGTCTCGCCCAGGGGAGCCGCAGCCAAAGCCTAGCAGCTGATCAGCTGGGATCCGGGCGTGCCACTTTGTTCAACGCTTCAAGAGGAAGAGTATGTATCTGTGAGCATACCAAGAGCAGCAGGCTGTCACTGACGACGGGCCTCTGAGGGTTTCGTATTCTTGGGACATCTGAGGCAAACTTACTCCTCCACCACACATTTGAAGCGGGGGAGCCTGTTTGAGTACTTTGGGGTGCCGAGCGCCCCCGTCCCCCACAAGCGTGAATGGTATACCCCAAGTGGGAGGGAGAAGAGCAGATTAGTCGTTTGGGGTAAGTTGGCTGGTCCCAGAGCGGCAGTAGAGTGTTGCGCATGCGCTCGGAGACCCCGAAAGGGGGTACGGGGAAGGCTGTAAGGTGCGCTTCCAAACCCGGAAGTGTTCCTCGATCATTCGGAGACTACTGGGGTTTCATCTGCTGGTTAGACCTCCCAACCGGCTGCTCTTGCTCCTAGGTGATACCGGGCAGTATTTCTCAACAAACTGCCAATTCCCTGGAAATCTTTCTTTCTTCCCAGTACCTCCCGCACCCGACCCACTCTTCCAGTTCCACCCGAAGAGCTGGTCTCCTCTTGGCAGTAATGGGCTTAAGGGAAATGGTCCGCCCCAACAGTGTGTGTGTGTGTGGGGGGGGGGGGGGGGGTGAGAGAGTGGTGTCCAAGCCAGATTCTTTGCCCATCCTCCCTTCTCAGTACCCGGCCCCCTAAAGCCTCAAGAGACATAAGTCCACTCCCTATGCCTAGGCTAGGAGAACCTCTCTTCCTCCTAGAGTGGACGTGTTTGGATTTTGAAGGGAAGCTAAAACCGAATCAGTGATGGAAATTTATGAGTGACCAAAGATGTTTGAGCCAGTAGAAAAATTAGCCCTTTAGTTTTCAGTGTCCTGGGTTCTGAACTCATCCTGAGCTCTAGTCAAATGTACCCAGAAGGCTATTGTTGGTGACTAATTTCATCAGGGAGGAAACTTCCTCCAGACCTGAAGAGTTGACCCACAGCTTGAGGCCCTTATGGGTGAATTTCTAAGGATGTAATACTTCCAGGAAAGAATGCTTCCTGGCGCTTAGAAGTAGCTGCTGTGTATCCCAGACCCGGTGGAGACACCAGATTAATTTTAATAACGATATTTCATTTCTGTATATACCGTTGTGTTTGTGCATGCTCTGTGGACTTCTTACGTTGATGTCGCTTCCTTTAGCCTCTAAAGAGCAAGGATTACATTTAGCTTGGCCTCTTCCTAAAGGTAATATTGATGATGAAGACAATGATTGCAGAATCATTGCCATTTCAATAAGTATTTCCGAAATCCATTGGAATCAAACCATACAGCACATCTAGCTCTCATTGCCCTTAAATCTTCAATTGAATTGACATAACATTGCCACATTTGTGGAAGACCTACAGCCTATGAGTTTAACAAACAGATTAAGTAGACGATTGCATGTTGATTTTCTTTTCCAAATGAGAAAGGAAAGCCTAAAACCAAAAGGAAATTTTAATATAAAATGTGATTGTCATCTTAAAAGCTGCTTGTCTGTCTGTTGGTTTGCAATCGATTCAACAAGCATTTGTGGAGCATCCTGTATTTCCTAAAGCCTTGTCTCTCCTATTCTCCTCTGCCCAACTGCCCTTCCTCTCATTTGCCCAGCACACTCCTACGTTAAGCACACGTTACTTCTTCAGTGTTTTCCATTCTCTGACAGGACAGAATTGGTCCCTCCATCTGTCCACATAATCTCCATTGTAGGATGAGGAAATTTATGTTTATCTCTTCTCACAAAACCTAGCTCCAAAAGAATTGGCTCATAGAAGGACTTCCGCCAAGATGGAGGCATAGGTGGAGACGCTGTGCTTCCTCACACAACCAAGTTTAAAGACAACTAAATAATAGCAACAGAAAACACAGCCAGAACGCAGAAAATTGAACTTTTCGGAAGTCTGATAACAACAAATTCTTCAGCCTGACCGGTAAGAGGGGCGAAACCAGCAGCTGGCAGAGTGGGGTGGCACAGGGAAACTCGGTCAGACGGATCCAGGCGTGTGGAATCCAGGCGCAGGGTTGGACCTGGTGGGCAACTCCGCAAGCAATCACGAGGAAACAGCAAGGGAGCAGGGCTGCAGGTTGACTGTGGTCACGCATTCCTGCGCCCATAGACAAGCGAGGGAGTGGGCAATTGGACAAGAGCCAGCAGCTCCAGCGGCAAGGGGCGGTGGAGGACTCCGCCATTTCCCCGCTCTAATCCTGCCTCCACATACAGCATCATAATCCAGTGACCCAAGTGGCCCTGCCCCAGTGAACAACCTAAGGCTCTGCTCTTCACCCAGCTGCGTGAAACAGCAGAGGGGACCGCCATTTCCCCGCTCTGACCCCACCTCCACATACAGCATCACAACCCAGCGACCTGGGAGTCCAAGGCTCCACTCTTCATACTTAAGGGGCGCAAACAGACCAAAAATGGCTCAAGAAGATCTCAAAACCCCAGAGCCTATAAATCTAAGCGATAAAGAAATAGCAAAACTCTCAGATGCACAGTTTAAAACACTGGTGATCAGGATCCTCACAAAACTGGTTGATTATAGCCACAAATTAGACAAACATATGAAGGCAAAACTAATTGAAATGAATGGAATTGCACAGGAAACCAATAGCGATGAAAAGGAAACTGGGACTCAAATCAAGGGAGTGGACCAGAAGAAAGCAAATAATGGCCAAACAGAAAAGAGTGAAGAAGCAAGAATTCAAAAAAATGAAGAGAGTCTTAGGAACCTCCAGGACATCTTTAAACATTCCAACATCTGAATTATAGGGGTACCAGAAGGGGGAAAGGCACAGCCACCAGTGGAAAACTTATTTGAACAAATCATATAGGAGAACTTCCCCAATCTGGCAAAGGAAATAGACTTCCAGGAAATCCAGGAAGCTCAGAGGGTCCCAAAGAAGTTGGAACCAAGAAGGAACACACCAAGGCACATCATAATTACATTAGCCAAGATTAAAATGAAGGAGAGAATCCTAGAAGCAGCAAGAGCTAAGGGGACAGTCACCTACAAAGGACTTCCCATCAGACTGTCAGCTAATTTCTCAAAAGAGACCTTACAGGCAAGAAGGGGCTGGAAAGAGGTATTCCAAGTCATGAAATCCAAAGACCTACAACCAAGATTGCTCTATCCAGCAAAACTTTCATTTAGAATGGAAGGACAGATAAAGTGCTTCTCAGGTAAGATCAAGTTCAAGGAGTTCATCATCACCAAGCCCTTATTATATGAAATGTTAAAGGGACTTACCTAAGAAAAAGAAGTTAAAAAAACACGAACAGTGAAAGGACAACAAACTCACAGTTATGAACAACCACACCTAAAACGAAAGCAAACTAAAAGGACAGCTAGATCAGGAGTGGAAACATAGAAATGAAGATCTCAAGGAGGGTTAGCAACAGGGGAGTGGGAGGAGGAGAAGGGGGGGAGAAGGTACAGAAAATAAGTAGCATAGACAGTAGATAGAAAATAGATGGGGGGGCAAGCATAGTATGGGAAATATAGAATCTAAAGAACTTGAGACACATGGTCATAAACTAAAGGGGGGTAATGGTGGGGATGGGGGAGTAGGGTAGAGGGGAATGAAGGGGGGGAATAGAACAACTGTAACAGCATAATCAATAAAAAATAAATTTAAAAAAAAAAAGAATTGGCTCATAGAAATAGCTGCAATGTACCCCCAACCCAGTGGGGATACAAGAGGCTCAGAGCGTATTACCTAGATTAATTTTATTACCAAATGCTATAATTTTATTTCTATGTATCATTCTGTTTGTTTATTCTCTGTGGACTTGTGGGAGTCCCCAAAACTCTATCAGATTGAAGCAAACTCAAGCTATGCTTGCTGAGCAGCAGAGCGAATCTGAGAAAAGCTACTTTTAGGCAAGGCTCTTTTCTCTGCAAGTAACAGAAACCCACTGAAACTTCTTTGTGCAAAAAAAATATATATATTGATGGAAATAATATTATAGAACCCAGAGGTGTAGAGAGCAACAAGATCTCATGAAGTACTACAACAAGGATCTAAAATAACAGGAAACCAAGTAGCTATTCTCATTATCTTTCTCTGTGGTCAGATATTCTAACACCTCTACTCACTCTACAGAGCTGCTTCTTGCTTTCTGCAGACTTGTTTTCCCTGCTTCTCTGGGAGCATTGTAGAACATGACTGTCCAAGCATACCTAGCCTCACTTCAAGACCCAACAGAGATTAATTCATATCTATGAATTAATTGGTCTAGTTTATGTCAGATTGTCTGTTCTAGGTATAGTTGCCTTTAGCCTGTGGAGCAGAATGTTGCAAGGCTCTTTGTTTTGTAATGTACATATAACTGCCAGAGACCCATCTTGTAGCCTACAGTTCTCAAAGAAGGTCAGTTGTGTTCTTGGCAAAGATTCTAAAAAGTGTCTTACCACCAAAAAAAAAAATTGCAGTCTGAAATTCAAAGCAAAAGAACAATGGATACAGTCGAGAATTCTCCAACAAACTAAGTCCTACTTAAACTATTTCCAGCCTAAATTTAAATGATGCCCTGTCAAAGAAGTCTTAACTGACTGCCCCCCAGCCACAATTAAATTTATGTTTCCCCATGTTTATCTTCTGTGACACCCTTTTCCTTTGTAACATCTTTCCCAGGTTATAATTAAGTATTTGTGTATCTCCTCTCCAAAGATCATGCCTGGTTTTTTAAATGATTTTATGTATTTATTTTTAGAGAGAGAAGGGAGGGAGAAGGAGAGCTCAAGAAACATTGATGTGAGAGAGAAACATCAATCAGGTCAAGCCCGCCACCCAGGCATGTGCCCTGACAGGGAATCAAACCAGTGACACTTTGTTTGGAAGGATGATGCCCAACCAACTGAGCCACACAAGTCAGGGCACGATCATATTTGGGTTTTTTTCCGCTGCTATGTATACAATGCCCAGGGCATATTTGCTAAGACATTCAATAAACTCGTTGAATGAATAAAAAGACACAATAATTTGTTAATTAAGGGTTTATGTTATTGGTAAGGCTATTGGTAGTTAAGATTTGGGGAAAGACAAAAGTTATATATATATATGGATTTTCAACTGCATGGGGGCAACTAGGTGCCCCTAACCTCTCTCTTATTCAAGGGTCAACTTTATAACTATATGTATTGTCATGGAAAGATCTCTAAGGTACATAGTTAAGCAGGGAATGAAAGATATAGAAGTATACATGTTGTGCAACACCACTAATTATTTTGAAAAGCCATACAGAACAAACTGGCTTTGAAGCATGTGTATAATATGTGCAAACTCATAACAAAAGTCTGGAGAAAAACCCACTAAACTGAAGAATTAGAAAGGGTGGGAGTAGGATGGTGAATGACTTCTGCTTTTATACTATTGGTGCTAGATAGGTGTGTTTGTTTTTTAACAACAAGAATGTATGTGAGCATTATTTGGGACATTTTAAATGCAATCAAGCATTTGAAAGGCCTTTTGTGGTGCCTGGCACACAGTGGGTGCTCAGGTAACACTGGTTTACTGCCCCTTTAAAAGCGATGTCAGTAAAGCTAGTCTAACCCTCCCTGATGTCTAGCCCTTTGGTGTGTCAGGATCTCGGCAAGGAGGTATGGCTGATTGATTTCTCCCTCCTCCCTCTCACATTGGCATCCTAATCAGACTGTCTGGAGGAAATGTCTCCATCACCACCCACTTCTCTAGAAGACTGAAACTCACTGTGAGCTTTTTTTTTTTTTACCACAACGTAGTTGTGTGCGATGAGACCCAGTGATCATCTGCTTCCTCTTAACGATGTTCATAGCTGGCTACTCTCCACTCTTAGTTCCCAAGGTTTCTATATGAAGAGCCTTTGAACCAATTCCTATAACATGCCCATTTATTTGGCTGAAAGCTCAGAGAGGCCATAAATTGTTAAGGCATCATCAAATTGGGGGACCAAAGTATGGGGTAATTGGCTGAAGTGCTTTTGTCATAATTGTCTTGACTACTTTCTAGTATGGATTGCATTCCAGATAAACCTGTGCTGTGACTCTTAGAGGTAGTTTGCAATCACCAATGGTCCAAAAGGAGCCATGTACATGCTCAGTGGGGTCTAGTAAAAGAAAATATTAATGCTTCAGCAGCCAGAGCCCTTGAAGTAGCAACTGAGGTTGTATGGGAAAAAGCCAGGTGTGACTCAAGGACCGGGGTTCACAAGGATTGCTTTCTTGGTAATACTGAGTCCCAAGACTTTAACCATGGAAGATATAACCAAAAAAAAGAGGGCTCATAGAGCTCATAGAGAACTGAGAGCAGACGGTCCTCCAACTCTGATTCTAGCTCTTACCCCACAACTCTCTTTAAGTCCCAGTTCACACCCTTTCGTCATTATAGTTTGTTCTAAAGTACTTTTATCCCCAACATCTAATCCAGCCTCTGGCCTCTGTATTAATCCTAATCCTAGTGTTATCTGTAAAATTTAATCCTAGATTTCAAACTTAAATCCTAACCCTAATTCTATGAGCCCCTTGACTTGCCATTGAGCTGCTTTCCCACCTATTCTTTCTTGTGTCCCTTGACCCTAATCCCACTTTTAGGAGCAGAGAACTCTATATTACCTTGGTCCCCTGTGGAGAATGGATGCCGGTTTCAATAATCCTTTTAAGAAAAGAAGAAAGAAATAAAGAAAGCCTTGAGCTGCCAGGAAAAAAGTAAGTGAGGCATTTCTCACCTGGGCAGGACACAGAGACCCTGTCTAGTGACACCTTGCCCTGTTGCCTAATTCACAAGCTGCTCAGCCTCTGAATGTCCAGAAAAGATGTGCTCCAAGTCACCTGTGTAGATTCAAGAATGTGTGGTTCAGTTTGCCAAGAACAGAAAACCTTAGACCCTTCTGCAAAATGACCAGGTTAGATTAGGTAAATGGCTTTCAAACCATGTTCTCAGAGCAAGAATTCTGGTTTCCACTTGTTCTCCTCCCTCACTTGGACTTGGTTTTTCAAAGAAAAAAAAAAATAATTTTCTTTAAATCTTTGAACTATACTCTCTCTAACATTCCTTCTGGCCCTTAAGTTGATTTTTTTTTAGCCACTTTTGGTCAGTCCATTTGGCATGGATAAACTCTCAGAGCCAACAGAAAAGAAGAGCAACCAAGCATACCCTCTCCAGACCTTCTCAGGAAACTAAAAATAAATAAATGAGGAGTGCAATGGGGAGGAGAGCAGAGGAGAGGAGAAAGTACTGCCATTCCACATCCCATGGCCTCATGTTCTTGAAGCAATTGCTGATTTCCCTGCTGCTCACACCCATCTTAGTGTGAAATTTGATTTTACTGACTTTTAAATTTCTTCTCAAGAATGGAAATATTGTTTTTCTCAAAAATACTTGACCTTTGTGGGGAAAAAATTCAAGTAATGAGAAAACAAAAGTCCTCTCAAATACCATCCCCCTGAAATACCCTTTGTTAACACTTTGGTATATAGCCCTTCAGGCTTTTCAGTTACATATGGTTAGATAAAACAGGGTGACTCAACACATAGCATTTTCTATTTTTAACTTAGAAATAAGTAATGGACATCTTCCATATCTATGCATACAGCTTTGAAGTATTGTCTTGTAGCTAAATGTATTAGTAAGAGTTCTCCATAGATAGGTAGATAAATAGATAAAAATATTATATATATAAAGTATATATAACTATACATATAAGATTTATTTATATTTACCATATATATATGAGAGATTTATTATAAGTAGTGACTTATGCAAGTTTTGCACAGGGGCAGTATCGTAGCCAATGAGGCTTGTCCAAGGCACGATCATTGCTAATTGAAAACTTTTCCCAATACCCTGCCGTGACGACTTAAAATATAGTCAGCCCTGGCAATTTTTGACCGTCTCTACAGAGACTGTTAAAAAAATTTTTTTAAAGAAAGGAATTGACTTATGCAATTATGGAGGCTGAGGGCTCCTGAGATCTGCAGTCCAAAGACCTGAGAACCAGGAGAGCCAATGGTAGAAAGTTCCAGTCTGACAAAGGAGAGACTGATGTCACAGCTGGAAAACCATCAGGCAGAAAGCACATTCTCTCTTGCTCAACCTTTTGACCTACTACTGATGCCTTTAACAGGCCCGCCCATATGGGGAAGGGCAATCTATTTTACTCAGTTTATTGATTCAAATGTTAATCTTATCTAGAAGCACTGGCACAGACATACCCAGAATGTTTAACCCAACATCTGGGCACTCCATGGGCCAATCAAGTTGACATGTAAAATTAACCATCACACTGAAATCGTGGGCTACAAAGTCAAACTGCCTGAGTTTGAATCTGGATTCTTCCACCTACTAGGTCTGAGACTTTAAGGAAGTCATTGAACCTCTCTGTACCTTGGTTTCCTCGTTTGATGCAGGAGACATTTGTAATAGGCTATGCTTTTCTTTCAATCCTCACCCAAGGGTATGTTTTTATTGATTTTAGAGAGAGAGGAAGGGAGAGGGAGAGAGAGACATTGATGTGAGAGAGAAATATCAGTCAGTTGCCTCCCATATGTCCCTTGACTGGGGATCGAACCCACAACTTAAGTACATGCCATGACCAGGAATCAAACCCACAACCTTTTGACATACAAGACAATGCTCCGGCCAATTGAGCCACTTGGCCATGGTGGGAGCTATGCTTTTCTATTGCCCAGTTTCTCCCTGGTGGGCCCACTTCTCCTGCTCCCAGGCCTTCTCAGAGATGCATTCACTAACTAGGTTTAGTCGGGGAGCCCTAGTCTCTGGCTCCAGGAGTCCATCTGATTCAGGGAGAGCCAAGGACTTTCCCTGGATGACTTGCTAGCTTTGCTTCCAGAGATCAAGTGTCCTTAGGCCCATGTAAGCTTGGACCTGTGGAGGGATCCTCCATGTGGAGCCAGGGTGCCTGGCAATGAAGCCAACAAAGAGGAAAAAAGATGGAGAGAAAGAAAAACTAAATCATTCAGACATTGTCTGAGTCCTTGAGTCCAACTAAATCTGCAGCCAGAACTACTTTCTGGACTTTTCAGTTACATGGACCAATGTTTTTTTTTTCTAAGCTAATATGAGTTAGGTTTCAGTATGTTTCAATGAGAAAAGTTCTGACTATGAATTATAGTATCTATCTATGTCATAGGTTTATTGTGAAGATTAAATTATATGATCCATGAGGAAGCTTTAACATAGTATGCAGCATATAGTAGACACTCCGTAAACATTCACTATTATTATTTTTTCTTTTTAATGGCTGCTGACCACTCTACTGTATGAGTGAACCATTTAATGAATTTCTTCTTGATTCATTTATCTTATTATTCATTCATTTAGTCTCTCAACAGACACCGTTAGGCATTAAGAACACAGTGGTGAATGAGGCAATAAAGTTCACTACCCTAGTGCTGTTTATCCTGTTAGTGGTAGAGGGAGACAATTTTAAAGTATTTAAAAATGTCTTAAAGGACAGTGAGGCCCAGCTTGCTACTTTTATAAAAAAAAATTTACAATGAATCTTTGTCCATTTTTCCTCTTAAGGTCTTGAACAAATTGTTAGAAACAATGGCAATACCACTTCACATTTGTTATATATGGCCAGACTTCCATTCAGAAAAGTTATACCAATTTACACTCCCTCCAAGTCATTGAGAAGGAAGATTTCCCCACAGCTCCGTAGCACTGGTATATCATTATTCGTTGCCAGTGTAAAAGGTAAAAAATAGCACCTAATGAATGTGTTCTTTAATTATATTTTACTGATTGTGCTATCACAGTTGTCCTGATTTTCCCCGTGTCACTTCTCTACTCAGTACCCCCCACTCCCTCAGGCAGTCCCCAATCCATTGTTCATGTCCATGGGTCATACATATTAGTTCTTTGGCTACTCCTTTTCCTATACTGTACTTTACACCCCATTGCTATTCTGTAACTACCTACTTGTACTACTTAATCCCCTCACCTCTTCACCAATTTCCACACACACCCAACAAAATGCTCTCCATATCCATGATTCTGTCTCTGTTTTTCTTGTTTGCTTAGTTTGTTTTTTAGATTCAGTTGTTGATAGATAAGTATTTACTGCCATTTTATTGTTCATAGTTTTGATCTTTTTCTTTTCTTAAGTCCCTTTAACATTTCCTATAATAATTGCTGATAATGAACTCCTTTAGTTTTTTCTTGTCTGGGAAACTATTGATGTGCCCTACAATTCTAAGTGATAGCTTTGCTGTGCAGAGCAATCTTGGCTGTAGGTCCCTGCTTTCATGACTTTGAATATTTCTTGCCAATCCCTTCTATCCTTCAAAATTTCTTTTGAGAAATCAGCTGTTGGTCTCATGGGTACTTCCCTGTCGGTAACTAACTTCTTTTCTCTTGCTGCTTTTAAGGATCTCTCTTTATCTTTAACCCTTGGCCTTTAATTATGATGTGTCTCAGAGTAGGGCTCTTTGCATCCACCTTGTTTGGGACTCTCTGTGCTTCCTGGATTTGCATGTCTATTTCCTTCACCAAATTAGGGAAGTTTTCCTTCATTATTTTTTCAAATTGATTTCATTTCTTGCTCTTTCTCTTCTCCTTCTGGTACCTCTATGATGTCAATGTTGGACCTCTTGAAATAATCTCAGAGGCTGCTTACACTATCCTCAGTTTTTTAGATTCTTTTTTTTTTCTTGTTCTCATTGGTTGTTTTTTGCTTCCTTATATTCCAAATCATTGATCTGATTCTCAGCTTCATCCACTCTATTGTTGTTTTCCTATAAATGGTTCTTTATTTCAATTAGCATAGCCTTCATTTCTGACTGGATCTTTTTTATGCTGTCAAGGTTCTCTCTAAATTCCTTGAACATACTTACAGTGTTTTGAACTATGCATCTGATAGATTGCTTATCTCCTTTTCGTTTACCTCTTTTTCTGGAGTTTTGATCTGTTCTTTTATTTGGGCCATTTTTTTTTTTGTCTTTTCATTTTGGCAGCCTCTCTGTGATTGTTCCCATGTATTAGGTAGAGCTGCTGTTTCTCCCCGATTTGGCAGTGTGGCCTAATGTAGTAGGTATCCTATAGGGTCCAGTGGCACAACCTCCCCTATCACCCAAGCTGGGTATTCAAGGTGCACCATTCATGTGGGCTAAGTACATTCTTCTTTTGTAGCTGAGCCTTGATTGCTCTCGGCAGATCAATGGGAGAGATTTACCCAGGCCAATCAGCTGCAAGGACTGGTAGTGATCACTGACCACCAACCTCTGCCCTCTGAGGAGGATCAGCTGTGCAGGGGCAGGGTGGTGGTGCTCTGATGTGATCTGTAGTTGCCCACTGGGTGCACAAACTCTGGGGTTTCCCAGGTGGTACAAGGCAAGGACAGCCCCCACCTGCATTTTCCCTATGGCCACCCTACCTGATCTGTAAAGCAATCTGAGGTGGCTGCTACTTGTGCTGGCCTTGGGGACTCCCAGGTGAAGTGAAGCTGTGAATCTAGGCTGGCAGCTGCTAGTGCTGGGCCTGGGGCTACTTAGCAAGAGGTATGGAGACTGAGGGCTCACCGAGGCCAGCTCTAGTTTGTTTGAGGGGATTTAGGAAGTTGTGAATCATGAGCCAAGACCAGCCATTCATATGGAAAAACAGCTTGGATGGCATAGAGTCTTAGGGGATCTCCAGGGTGGAGCAAACAGTCTTAGCCAGGTTGATGGAGTCTCACATACAGCACCAGCATTCCAGCTCTGTGGCTTTGTGCAGGGAAGGTTCAGAAAAGGGACAATGGCCTCTGCTTGCCTTGATACCAGGCACTTCAGTTTCTCCCTGTATACCCCTGGTGACTTTCAAGCTGCTACCCCAGTGCTGGAGCTCAGAGGGAGTAAGTCTGAGTAGGTGAGTCCATGTGTACATTCTTTAAGAGGAATGGCTTGGGATTCCAGAAGTTTCTTTCACTGACTCAAGCCCTGCTTGCTTTGGCAGCCAGAAGTTGTGGGGAAGTTGAAGCCAGAAGTTGCAGCCAGAAGTTGAAGTTATCTTCTTGGCACTGGAACCCTAGGCTTCGGGGTCTGGTGTGGTGCTGGAACTCCTCACTCCTGAGTATCCCTCACGAATTTTTATCCACCACATGTGGGTGTGAGACCAGCTCATTCCATGTCTGCTCTCCTCCTACTAGTCTAAGTGGATGTGGTTTCTGTAATTCTGTAGTTGTCAGACTTCCATTTAACTAGATTTTTGACAGTTCTGAGTGATGGTTGTTCTGTATTTTAGTTGTAATTTTGATGTGGTTGTGGGAGGAGGTGAACCATGTCTGCCTATGCTGCCATCTTGACCAGAAGTCAGGCACCTAATGGATGTTTTCATTTGCATTGCTTTGGTTATTAATGAGGTCTCACAAAATTTAGACTTATTTGAGTTTATTTTTGTGTGGATTTTGGATTTGGATTATTTTACATGTGCATTATCTCTTTGCAGTACCTGTTTATGTCATTTGTCCATTTTTCACAAAGGTTTCTTTATCTTATGTAGTTTACTATATAGGATGGGGCAAAGGTAGGTGTATACTTGTGAGTATGTGAAATAGTTCTTTCTTGTATTATTACTTATTAATTGTATTTTTCAATGCTAACCCATTTACTTATTTTTATTTTATTAATTTTATTACATTTATTAGGGTGTCATTGGTTAATAAAATTATATGGGTTTCATAAATATTATAATATTTTCTGTATGAACAACTTTAAACCTATTTTTCCCCTACTCTGTATTTGTGTTGATATTAAGAATATCAGCCTTCTGTCACATGTACTGCAAATTCTCTGTCATTTGTCTTTTAATTGTATCTATACTTTTAGTTTTCAAGAGTCTAAAATGCAGGAGAACTATGTGAATTAACTTTGGCTAATGTTAGAATTGTCCACATGGGCACTTTTTTCTTAAGACTTCTAGTTACTGCAGAAAGAGAGAGAGAGGGAGGGAGGGAGGGAGGAAGGAAGGGAAGGAGGGAGGGAGGGAGGGAGGGAGGGAGGGAGGGAGGGAGGGAGGGAGGCAAGGGATCTGAGAATTAAAGGGGAAAAGATAGGAAATTGCAGGAGATGGGGAATAAGCGCTGAGAGGAAGCCCATCCCCTCTGCCTGCCCAACATCACCTTATGTTGGGCAGGCTCAGTTCTGAAGCAAGTGGCCAAGGCCTCCAGGGTCAGCTCAGCCCCTAGGACTCCTGCCAGCCCCAGGACCCTGAGGTGGATCATCCAAACTTAGGTCTCAGGCTTCCTGTTTTCCTGTCTAGAGGTGTGGCCTAATAGCTCTGTCAGCCCCCAGGGACTGGCTTGAAGTTTCCCATCAAGCCCCTTGCTCAGGATGGCAGACATAATATCTAGGAGTGAATGACACCAATACAGCAGGGCTGGGCTCCAAGAACTGACCTAATGGGAAGAACCAAGCGTGCTTGAGGAAGAAGTAGTTAGGAAACAAGGGTTCAATTGAAATTAGGGAAGGATTCAGAGGTGGAGGGATTAGGCTGGGTCAGGAGTAGGTATTTAGAACACCAAGCAGAATCACTAGCTCAGGAAAATGTTTATGAATGGAGAAGAGGCTTAGAGATGTCCATGATAGGGTCAAAAGGCTAAGGCTAGCATCTTACTTTGGATTTCTCCTTCCCAAAAGCTGACTCTGAAATAAGAACCGGGAGGTGCAGAGAACACTTCTAGAAATAGCAAGGTGGCCTATAAAGGGTGTATCATCCAGCCAGTTATCTCTGGGAGTGACTAGAGCCCGTGACTAGTCCTGTGAGGACTGTGCAAATCACACCTTGAAGTTTTCTCATCTGAGGCGGGACATGGACTGAGTATTTGTGCACCCACTTTTGTTCATAGTTAACAGCTGCTTGCAACACTTCAACCTGCCTTTTGCTGGCAGAACACCCTTCCATGGTTTTAGAGAAAGCCCTCAGGCAAAGAGATGCAGAGACAGGCCAGCGAGAGTTAGTAGGGGCTCTCGGAAGTGGTAAGGCCAAAGGGATCCGGATGGAGCACCTACATGTCTGGCACAGCTGGGGACAGTGTGTATGTCTGTGCATGTCTCTGTGTGTGTAATTAGGTAGTGTGATATTTGATAAAAATTATTCAGGGGTTTCTGCCTAAAGCTATGAGTAATCAAGTAAGGTTACTTGCCCTCTGGTTAAAAGTTAGAGAGCAGAGTTAAGGTTACAATAGGATCCGAAAATTAGGGTTCCGTTAAGAGCACTCAGAGAGGCTTATCCATCCTGCTTGAAGTTCTGCAGCTGGGGCAGGATTGCAGCCTGGTCTGTGTTACTCTAAAGCCTGTTAGGAGGACAGAGTGCAGGATGGCCTAGTGAAGGGAGGGAGGGAGCCACAGAATCCTTGCTGCCCGGGGTTTCCCTGGCAGCCAGGGAGCGGGGCTAGGAGGATGCTGTGCAGCTGCCATCTGTTCTCTTGGCTCCATTACCTGGCAGCTGCCGCCCATGCCTGCCCTCTGCTCTGGAGGAGGACACATTCCCCCACAGCCCAGCGGGCAGGACGGGGATCCATGCCCTCACCAGGGCTGCACTGCATGATGAATTCAGTGATTATGACTTTCTGATGTGGGGGTGCTACTCAGTTATGAAGCACAGCCAACCCATCTGCCGTATCTTTCTTGAAAGAGCTGCTGGGAGGAAAACTCTGCATACTGCTCATGCTGGCAGGAATGTGTGCATGGACACACAGGTACAAGTGTGTACATAGGTGTGAAATTGTGTGTATTTGTGTTTTTGCACACAGTATGGATGTAAACATTGGGAGCTCAAAACCATTGTGGTTCTATTTCCTCCACAGAGATTATTTAGCAAATTAGTCATTAATAAATAATAATGCTACCATTTTCTGAGCACCTTCCAGATGCCAGTAACTATAATAGGTGCTTAACACACGTCAGTTGTAGTAAAATAAACCTTATAGCTACTACACAAGAGAAATTTTACCTTCCTCATTCTGCAGATGAGGAAACCAAAGACTTAATTGGCCCAAGGACTTAATTTTTAAGTGGTAGAGCCAGGATTTGAGATTATGTCTCCAATTCCGTAGTGTGTGACATTTAATTTCCACCTCCTCCCAAATCTTCTCAGGATGAGAGTAACAAACAAACTACTGCCACACAGGATAATGTGACCCATTCACATAAAAGCAGTGTTGAACAAAAGAAGTCAGGCACAAAATGCCAACCGCATTATTTCATTTACATAATGTTTAAAAACAGACATAACTAATCTATGCAGTTGAGAGTTAGGAGAATGGTTACCCTTGCACGGGGCAGGGGATTACTGGAAGGGGCCGCTGAAGGGACTTCTAGGGGGCCTAGTCATGTGTAATATTTTACCTCTTGATCTGGGTGCTATTTACATGTATGTATTCAGTTCATGCAAAGTCATTAACTGTATGAATGATTTGTGCACTTTTCTATATAAATATTTCACCTCAAAGAAAAAGTTCAAAGTTTAATAAAAGTCTTGGCAGGGGCTGTGAGTGATTCAGAGGAAGGAAGAACCACAAAGTTTACCCTTGTGGGAAAGGGAGGGGTGCTCCTGTTCTAATCCACAGCCTCAGGAAGCTCCCAGGCTGTGGAGGGGCTGAGGGTGCGGGGTGGGGGTGATGAAGCGTGGCAAGGAGGGTGCTGAGGTTAGTGGACTCCAAGCTGCATGCTCCAGTCCAGCTAGCGAGGAGTAAGAAGGGCCTAAGGAGTTAAAGATGGTTCAAAGTCAATAGACCAGTACCCAAGAGAGGCTTTCAAAGGTAGCCAGTGTATAGTGGCCAAGGGAGAAGACTGTGGCCTTTGAAGCCCAACATACCTGGCTTGACCTCCTGGCTCTCTCCTCTACTGGCTATGGGACCTAGAGAGAGTTATTTATCCTCTCAGAGTCTTGGCTACTTCTCCTGTACAATGGGTCACCAAAGACTGCTATGAGGATGAAATGACATGATAAAGTAAAAACACTTGGCACAGAGTGTGGTACATGGTTGGCATTCAGCGAAAGTATGTCTGGAAGGTAGAAGATGCCTCCTACTCATTCTGGGTAGCTGTGGCCGGAGCAGAGGGATTTATTATCCCTGAGGTAGTGCCTGACTGTGGCGGCCAGGGAGGGGTAATGGTGGTGGAGGCAGGGAGATGGACTGATGCTCCTGCCATGAAAGTCCCACCGGGAGAGATTCAAGAAAAGAGTCTCGGGAAGGGGATCCAGGCATGCAGCAGCAGGGAGAGGTTTCCAGGTTGGCAGCCCAGCCAGAGAGGAACTTTTGGGAAGGATAGCCTGATTTGATGGAGGCTTATGAAGCTGTGTGTCATGGAGTGGGAGTTCTTCCCATGGGAAAGCATCTGGAGTCTACCTCTCAAACTTGTGCCACAAAATAGAGACCGATAGAATCTGTTCTAAAAACTGGTAAAAGGTCCGAGTCCATGCGGACTGATTGAGCATCAGCTCTTCAAAAACACAGCTGACAGGTGAGAAACTTAATGAAGAACTTTCTGACTCACCTCCTAACTCAAATGGCAACTTCCCCAAGAGGCTTTATTCCTCAAGTTCCACTTGGAATTTTGCACTTTTTCTTGCTCCTATAACCTCCTGTATACACTGCATGGCTTATGGGACATTCCGCTTAGAGAAGGGAAAGAGGGTATATATCAGTTATTTTTCTGCTAATGACACCGTAGCAGTTTATGTCAGTTTCATTTAACTTGTGCAGCCCATGAAAACTTGTGCTTCAAAAGGTAGCATCAAAATATGAAAAACAAGCCACAGACTGGGGGGAAATATTTGCAAATCATATATTTGATAAAGGCCTGGCATCCAAAATACATAAAGAATTCTCAAAACACAATAATAAAAAGATAAACTATCTAATCTAAAAGTGAACAAAAGATTTGAATAAACATTTCACCAAAGAAGATAATGAATAGCTAGTCAGCACATGAAAGTATGTTCAACAGCATTAGTCATCACGGAACTGAAAATAAAAACCACAATGAGACACAATTTCACATCCACTAGAATGACTATAAGCGAAAAGTCAGACAATAATAAGTTCTGGCAAGGATGTGGAAAAACTGGAACTCTCACCTATTGCTGGTTGGAATGTAAAATGGTGCAGTCACATTTGAAGACCATTTGTCAGGTTTTTAATAGGTTAAACAACCCAGCAATTCTGCTCCTAGGTGTCTACCTGCTGAGAAAAATTAAAATATATGTCTTTACAAAGACTTGTACACAAATGTTCATAGCAGCATTATTCATAATAGTCACAAAGTGAAACAACCCAAATGATCATTAACCCATACCTTGGAATATAATTCATCAATCAAAGGAGAGAAAGAAGCACTGTACACGCTACAGCATGAATAAATCTCAAGAACATGCTCGGTGAAAGGTGCAAACTTCCACTTAGTGTATGACTGTGTGAATATAAAATGACAGGAAAAGGTAAACCCACAGAGGCAGAAAGAAGGTCTGCAGTTGCCAGGGGCTGGGTGGGAAGGGCGGCAAGTAGGCACAGGGGTCCCTCGGAGTGAAGCCCAGGCACACTTCGGTGTTATCTTCCTGAACTTTTTAAATAAATACATACAAAAAGTAAAACCAATAACAACACCTTTCACCACCCAGATCAAGACAGACATCTGAACCCCCCCTCACCTCTGTTCTAGAGCAGTGCTCATACTGCCCCAGAGCAGGCACTCAGCGGTTCTTACCCACCTTTTTCTACTCCCAGGTGGTTCTTGAAATTCACCCTCAGCTCTTTGGCCATGGTCTTCTTACTGCAACAGTCTACCCCACACTGGACACCACCCTTCTTTCTTCACCCCCTGAAAGTGCCACTGACACACCATGACCATGTGGATTTTTACTGAAGACTTGGAGTCACCTGGGAACAATTACCACATGGGGCAGAAAGCAGCCTGAAGCTCCTCCTCCAGTGTCACGGGCCCCAGAACCAAACTGGCCATCCAGTCACTGGGTGGGCTCCCCCTAGCTCCCTTCTCTATCCTGTGATTGCCCTCCTCCTGTCCCCGGTAAAGAACATCAACTCCAAATCTACCTGGGAAAGGAAAGAACACACTTGTGTGGAGTGGCCTGGGTGTAAGGAGCGCCTGTGATGAACTCCAGAGTACAGGCCCTGTGAAACAAGAGCGGCCACACTCAGCTCCAACCGGACATCCCTCAGGCAGGGGGAGGGGGTGTCTTTAATAAAAGTGGCCTGCATTCAGCTAGTTTCCTAAATGGGCTCCGCACCCTTCTGCCCTTTCCCCCTTTCAAGGCTTCTAACTCCCCTTAGTTGTTATGCACAGTAATTTAGTTCCCCTTAGCCTAGGACTCCCCAGCCAAGCTGGGCCCATAACACCTACTCTTTCCCACCAAAACCACCTATCAACACTCATCAAGGCATTTTCCTAAATGAAAGAACCACCTCTTCAGGAGGTAGAAGAGACTGCATCAGCTTTTTAATAACTAGCTCTTTCATTTTTTCTAATTTAGTCTCATTTTAAAGATGAAGACACTTTGACCCAGAGAGGTGAAATAATTTGTCCCGATCACCACACTCTTAATTAGTGAGACTGGAAGTTGAGTCCTGTCTCCAAAGTCCATGAAGGTGGCTTGTTGGTCTCTCTACCCCAAGAACTTAGCAAGATGCCAGAGCTCAATTAATGCACTTGTATTTGAGTCTAAATAAAGGGTGGATGGGGGGGGGGGGGAACCTCCCAGGCCTGCTAGGAAAACCAGAGAGGAGAAGGGACAAACTGGGGAAGGAGCTGGTGAAGGGCAGTGAAGTGAAAGGGCCTGGGCCCTGCCCTCAGGCTCTTGGGAGTGGGCTGTCCCCTGGCTGGTCCCTCTGCCTCCTGCCCAGCCTTCCAGGGAGACTGTGTGCTCTGGGCAGAAGCCGCTGCCACCGTTCATCAAAGCCAGGCAGCCTGAGGAAGCTCAGGGCCTATCCTGTAGGACACTTTCAATCAACTTCAGTTCAATTTGTTCCCTCTAAATGACTCTGAAATGTAAATAAAATTAAATTAATGCTGCTGTATTTGTCTCTGTTAAGGCTCTAATGGGTGGTAGTAATGCTACTGCGAGATCAGCAGCGGGGAGACAGGCAATAGCAGGGTGGCCAGCTTTGTGCCCCCTCCCACACACCGCCCCACCCTTCCTGCTCTGGAAGGACAGGCTGCACTGTCCAGATTCAACCATTAGGGAGGTGGGGGAGTTCATGTCACTTCCATGCTTCCTTCTTCTGCCTCAGACCGATCCAATCTGGGCCGCCTAATTGCTCTCCGCCAGCGGTGTCCAACCCTCGGCCCACAGGCCGCATGCAGCTCAGGATGGCTGTGAATGTGGCCCAACACAAAATCATAAATTTACTTAGAACATTCATTAGGAGATTTTTTTGTGATCACATGTTGCAGTGTATTGAATGTGTGGCCCAAGACAACTCTTCTTCCAGTGTGGCCCAGAGATGCCAAAAGGTTGGACACCCCTGCTTCACAAATGCCCCCAATTCTCACTGTTTCTCATCACACTCTCAAAGTTTCGGAGTTCTAGACATGGCAGAATGGCTTTCTCTTTGCCCACCAAGCCAAGAGTTACAAATAGCTCTTTCATCGGGACTTTATTTCTGTGTCCTCTCACCCCTCCAAGGAAGGGGCTCCATTGCCCCATATCAAGCTTCCTCAACCTCCACACTATGGACATTCTGGGCTGGATGACTCCTTGTCATGGAGGACTGTCCTGTACATTGTAGAATGTTTAACAGCATTCCTACTGTTTACCCACCAGGCACCAATAGAATCCACTCTCCCAGCTGTGACAACCAAAAATGTCTCCAGACATTGCAAATGCCTCAGAGTGGAAGGTGGGGGTCAAAATCATGTCTAGTTGGGACACTTTGCCCTAGAGGAGGGGATGAGGCAACTCAAGAAAGGAGAAAGCATGAGGGAGGAGTGGACTACCAACTCCTACAATGTACATGTCTTTTCACTCTCCGCCACTCTCATCTATCCTGCCTCCCCACATAGTTTCTTAAAACACATAGCATTGTACTAACATAGGTAATCCATGACCATCCCACCTTTGGACTAAACTCCAGACACCCCTCCCCCATGGAAGCCTCACTCTGCTCTCTCCCACTCCCGTCCCCTAGGTTCCACAGCCCCGCCTGGAGGACTACCCACCAAGAAACCAAAAAAAGGTTTTCCCTTAGGATTTCTTCATTGGTAGAGATACCCCAAGTAAAGGAGATCTCAATAGGTTAGGATTTTCCAAGGAAGAGGAAGAGATCCTCTTGCTAAGAGGAGATCACTAAAAGAAGGACATTCCAAAGAGAAGGTGATTTCCCAATAGAAGCAGGCCCTCAACTCTCTTTACAGACCGGGCTATTAGAATTCCTCAGTGTCTTCCTAGCACTCAGCTGCCAGAGCCCACAGGCCAAGCAAGTTGGGCGCAGGCACAAAGCCCTCCAGGAGTGCTGCACTTGTGCCAGCGTCAGTAGGAAGCTGGGAAGGGAGAGGGGCATTAGCGTCCAGGGTTCAGATAGCAGAGTCAATAGCAATGAATTTGCCACAGGAAAGCGGGGACAGGGTCGAGTCCCCACCTCACTGTGCCCTTCCACCTCTCACCTCAGCCATCTCAATTTACAGCCTGAAACTGTGGGAAAACAATCCAGGAATTTAGCTCTATTTATAAATCTCTGAAAGCTTTCATGTGGTCCCAAAGAAGGCCTCGCCAGAGCATTCCAGCCTACACAGAGGAAATCAAAGAAAATGAATTGTAATCACAGCACAAAGCCTGAGCCCGGAAGTACAAGAGCCGGGGAGGTTCCCTGCCTCCTACTGGACTCATTAGCACAAAAAGAATGGAAATCCCACCTTCCCTCCTTAGAGTTCATCATAATCTGTCTTGTGTGTGTGTGTTTGCTGTATTTACATTTCTACCTTCTGCCAAAGTCTGTTCCTGGAAGAATTTCTGATATCTGAAAGCCAGTAAAAGCTGTAGTCCAAAAGTACATTCATAATCTGGAGAATGTCCATCTGCAAGCTTCTTGTTCGTAGGATGTTTATTTGACCCACAGCTGCTGAGCTCACTAAATTATCAAAATGTGCTGCTCTGGACCCAAATGCACTTGTGCTAAGGCTTTGGGCTAATTTTTATTTTTCTGCTAATTCTGCTGCACTAAGAGACCCTAATGCAGATGATAAAAGATCCACTGACGAGGCAGAAAGGTGAGCATGTCACACATCTTTTCATCGGTCTCTCAGCATGGCAGGGACTTCCAAGCTCATCTGCACCCCTTCCAGGTGTACAAGGAGCTGCCTTGATCACAGCGCGCTGGCAGAGGCAGTGTGCCACCCTCCTGAACACAGCCACTCCACAGTGCAGAGGGAAGGACTGGAGTTGCCCTCACTCTGGCTCGTTGGCTTTCAGGAACCTATGGAACCCGTTTGGTATCAGACTCCAGGCTCTCTGAGCCTCTGCCTGCCTGCTCCCTCCTGCTGCAGCTGTCGCCAGGCTGTCCCTGCCCCCAGCTCTGGAGGGAGCCTCATCCTTAGGGGCCAGGGGCCGGGCCTGGTGTACAAAGGGAACTTCATCGGCCCTCGGTCCTTCTGTCACGTTCTGAGAGGCAGCCAGAAATAGAGCTGGACTGCAAGGAATCCAGATCCTTTTACAGATCCTTCCTGGAGAGCTGAGGTTAAATCCTTGCCTCTTTCCCTCCAAAGCCCATTTGGGACAACCAGGATTACGAGGGACTTTCTCTGCCCACCGAAGCACTGCCCTCACACCCTGCCTCCCTGACCCCTGGTTCCCGTCTCCCCCGGCCCCCTCTCCAGCAGCCTCCTCCAGGATGAGGCATTACTGGCACTTTGAGATTGGAGTGGGCAGTGCGTGTGCGTATATATGTACTAGATACACGAGTGGAATGAGGCGAAGATAGAAAGATGAGAGGAACAGGAGGCAGAATGAGAGGCCCAGGTACCAAAGCTGAGGAAGAAAGAAAGAGGTGGGTTGGGAGGGGAGGAAAATCAAAATGGGGCTCTAACAAAACCCCAAGTTGATCCAGAGGAGCCAGAGGAGTTAAGTTTATTATTAAGCTCCTGTGCCTCAGTTTTCTCATCCATAGAAAGGGCAATGATAGTAGCTACCTCACAGTGTTACTGCAAAGATCAAATGAGTTAATGTACGTATAGTGCCAAGAACAGTGCCTGAATATAAATATTAGCTGTTATCACCATCATCATCGTCAGTATTGTTATTGTCACCACCATCTCTAGCTCCCAGTCCTGGGGCCCAGGGAGCGTGGGGAGAAAGACAAGCCTCTTTCAGCTCCTCTGCCCCATCCTTCTAACTGCCCCTCCTTCTTCCCACCCACATCCTCTGCCAGCAGCGGAGGAGCTCAGCACCGCTCTCTATCTCTGGGGACACATTTCTTTCTTCTTTCCTGTACTTCCTCACTCAGTGGACGAGTAGTTCTATTTATTTGAACTGTGTGACTAAAAAATATATACATTGGCTGTATGAGGTAGGAGATAAAGCTGAACAGATGGTTTAGATTCAGTGCTAGAGGACTTTGAATGCTAGGCGAGAGTTTGGTCTTTGTTCTGAAAAACAGGAAGCCCTAAATGATGTTAGAGAAAGAACATGGTGTGGTCCAGGCTAAGCATCCATAGGATTAGTTTTCATGGACTATTAAGTACGGAGTAGTATTTGAAGCTTTTCTCAGTCACATACATGTTTGTAAAAGTGAGTTTCAAATAATTCCGTGGGAGCAGGTCTGATAGCAGAGGAGAAAGGAATGAAAATTTGGGACAATTCAACCTGGGAACAGTTGGCCTGGATGTGAGGACTGATATAGGCCCCAAGAAGCCGGGGCCAGGCATCTTATCCTGGGCACTTTTCTGCAATTGAGCCTTGGCTGGGAGCCCAATAGAGCCTGGTTCACACACGAGTCCTGCCGTGTGTGCATGTGCATGTGAGCGGGAGCCAAGGCTCAAACACGCATTTTGGAAGGCACAGCAGAATTTCCTTAGTGTTGCAGGGGTGAGGAGGTGGAGCACTGTGGCTCCACAAGCATAATCTGACACCATACTGCCTGGCTTCGAACCCTGGCTTCCAAGTGTGCAACCTTGACTGAAGGAGGAAAGCACTCTGCCTCAGTGTCCTCATCTGGGAAGAAGGTGTGATGAGAGCACCTGCCTCGTGGGGCTGTTCTGAAGAATAAATGAGCTAATACACTTAAAATGCTTATAATGGCACCAAGCAACAGAATCAGTCCCTAGTCTGGCATGGTTCCTATTACCATCATTGTTCTGTTTATTATTGGTATTATAATATCATTATATTATAATACTATATTATTATACTATAATTATAATACTAATTATTTTATGATTATACTACTAATAATACATATTATTCGTATTATACTATTGTTATGAGTTGGAAGACTCTGAATTGAGAATGAGGACATCTTGATCTCATCTTGGTCTCTAAGATTTCTCCTTGTCCCCCACCCTCCCATGGAGCTGTCCCTTCCTCCTTTCTTTCACAGGGATGGCCTCGCTATGGCCCTGTTCACTGGTCCCTGGGATGGGATCAGGGATGGTACCTGCCCTGAGCTACAACAAGGGGAGGCTCTGCCTAGGCACTGGAAATTGGGAGAGAGAAAGAGGGCTCTAGGGAGCCTGAGTCAGACCCAACTTGAGGGTGGTACCAAAACCTAAGCTCAGGTGAGGCGGAGACCAGCTGTGATGATACCTATGGATTCCTTTGCCTTCATAATAATATGTTTCCCCTTTCTTTCTTAAATTAGTTTCTTTTCTTGTAACCAGAGTACTAAAAGGCAGCCTTTTACATGTTTATAATCTTACTCCCTGTGTGTGTATGTGTTTATATGTGTGCATGTATGTTTCTATACATATTCCCACTCTAAAAGACACATACATGTACATGCACATTTCCCACTTCAGTCACCTGTCGCTGCTCAGGGCCAGGCAGGTATTCTGGACCCTGTGGCCAAAAGATA